GTTCAGAGGATGTTTTGACGATGTTCTCACTGCAACGTTCAAAGAAATGTTTTAAGGATGTTGCTTAGACCTGATATGAGTGAATGTTCCTCAAATATATTGCATTAACAGAGTTAGAACATAATAGAACATTCTTTTATGAAACATTTGCACAATGTTACATGACAACGAACAAAGAACTTTCTGAATGTCTTAACCTAACATTCAGAAAACATTACAAGGCTGTCAGGGCTTAAATGTTCTAACAATGTTACCAGGAAAACATTTAAGTGAGTTATTATCAAACATTTTTAGAATGTTTTCAGGGAATGTCATCCTACTTTTTAAGGACAAAAATAAACCTTTTCAGTGGAAAAACTTTACAGCATTATGTTGAAACAATGTTGTCAAAAACATTTCAAAAACATTACCAAAAAAAGATACTATATTTATATATTATATCTGCATTAATCTGCGTATCAACCATAATACTGAAGGAAGCCCTGCTGTGTGTCATCTGTCTTGGTTTTAAATAAATACATAATAACTTCGATTTTTTGGCGAATAAGACGAAGAACTGTGTGAACCGTGTCCGACACATGTGTTTACTTAGTTTTTTGGATATAAAGTCTGTCAAAACACTGCAGTTGATCCCCAGGTCAGGATGAGCTGTCCTCCAGATCAGACAGAAACTTAGGAATTGTTGGATGTCGAGGGATAAAACTTAAACATACTAGCCTGCTGATACCTAAACACAAAAAGCGCTTCCCTCAGAAAAGACAGATTGAGTCCTGTGCCGCTACTTTTCCAGCCATTGCTTTGTCTCTTGCAGCAGAAAAGCGAAGTTCCCTGCCTAAACAACCGAGCACCCCCGTGGGAGAACCGTGACCGGGTGGAGGTATGAGAGGAATGTCAAGCAGAGTAACACAACGTGGGCCAGAAGATGATTAAAAGGCATGACATGCATCCCAGGCTTTTATATACGGGACGACGGTTTTATACATTAACAGGGTGGGGGCTCGTGCACGCATGCAAACGTCACCTCAAACGTGTTTAATGCGCAAGTTTATAAAAACAAGTCCGGAGAGCCGCTTGCATTGTGGTTAGTTTCAGCTGCCCCAGAGAAACCACGGCTCAGTCAGGTGGCGACCCTGTGATGTCATCTGATGCTGGTTGATGATAAACTCTCTATAGGCTCACTGCAGCAGACAGGAATGGGGCGGGGGAGACACAGAAGGTCCTTGTAATGTAAATCTTTCTCACAGATCAGGCTGTAGTTCAAGAAATGTAAGGGGCAGTGTGGTGCAAGATGGAAGAAACTCCTCAACTTGGATTTCAGCAATTATAAGAGTCCAGCAATCCTGGATGTCTTCACGCTGTGGGGATGAGTGGAGGTCTTGGATTATTTTCTATAAGTAGCCACACAGACATCAGAACCCAGTTGCATTTTTAATTAATACACCTGGATGTTCTTACCTGTGAGTTTGTAGTTGATGCTGCACTCTTTAGTAGTTCTTCCACGACACTGGCCCCCCTCTCACGCTATTTACCAACAGTGACGCTGCATCTTTGCTGCGTGATATTGTGCCGTTTCCATACATGAATGCGAGCTATAAAAAGTACAAATTCCACTGGACGTTTTTTTCTCATGTGAAAGTCCATGTTCTTTGTCAAACTGAACTCAGTTTAAACTCTTATTGAGATGGCCAGTCCCGGAGCAGAGTGTTTATAATGGGAAGTTTTATTAGCGTGAACCTTAAAGGTCAGATTTATGTTCATCTCTGCAGACTGTATTTCCCAATAATAGCATAGTTTACTGTAAGAACTGCCAAGGCACTGGTGATGCAATGTAGAGTTGTATGTATTTGATATATGAAGTGTACTTAGCCCTAATACTTATCATAAGTGTTTCACCCAACTTATTACAATTGCAACAAAAGAAATATTGAGGCTCTAGAATGAGCAGACGGCTGGACGAGTGGAGCTTTGAGATGCTTTCGACAGGATTCAGCTGTTGGCACTCGTCTCATTTTATTTCAAATGTGAAGAGTTAAGCAAAGGAAACATTTGATCAATTCTGACTGGAGGGCAAACACTTCATCTTAACTGTTGTGCTTCACAGTTCACCGATATATGAAAAGTTTTATAAGTTAGCAAAGTGTTGTAAAAGTGGATTTACTCGGTTGCCACAGAGGATAATAAACTTCCCCGGCTCTTTATGAGAAGTGTGAAATGTACATTTTAGGCAAAGCTTTACTTGCAGCTGCAGACTGACAGCTAAAGACTTCACTTTACAGAATCTAAAATGATGCATTTGTCATTCTGGATTAATTTACAGTCGATATACTGTTTGATATGAGCTGTTAAATGCATTAATAGACAATTCAATTAGAAGTGTGGTTGTGGTTGTGAGGGTTTCCAGAGAGACGAGTTGAAAATTTAATGCGTTAACAATGAAGTCTTTCTGGGAAATTAAGATTGATTGTGTTGCTTTTTTCACCAGCTGTTCATATTTCCCCAAACAATCAAAACGATGAGGTTCACAAACAGGGACAAGATGCCGCTATGCAATCAGCTCTGGTGTGGTCATGCAAGATTTTAACAGGGCGGCTTTGTCATTTTGTTTTCTAGCTTTTATCATTAAAAAATGCCACTAGTTGCTGGGTTATGATACCATTTTACATTTTAATTTGAAATGTATACATATGATTTGTAAAAGCTTGATATGTAAAGTCCTGTGCAAAGGTTTTGGTGTTAAAAGTGCAATGACGACATGAATTAATTTCATCTGTGAGTTCATACAAACTGCAGTAAACAAGTATCTTGGAGAACTTTCTATAGTTCTTCTGTGGAGGTTGGCCGTCTCAGATGTATTTTCTCTCCATGTTGAGATCAGGACCCTGAGGGGGACATACCATCTACTGAAGCACTGTTTGAATTTGGAGGGCTATTAGGGTTATGTTATGCTCAGAATAAATTTGGGACAGATTGGATTCCTGTGTGATGGAACTGAGGCATGGATACGAATCAGAATGACTAAAATATCGACAGGTGGGAGACAAATGAAGGGAAAAACAGTTGACTGCCTACAATGAGCCAATCAGGTGACCTGGGTTTGGGTTATTCTCTTTTAGGGACGTGTCACTGCAGATCAAGTTGATCTCACTGATCACCTTTATCGTGTGATGGAATATTTCTCTCCTCATGAGTCTGTTATCTTGCAGGATGACCATGAGGGGGTCACTGAATGGTTTGATGAGGATGAAAATGATGTGATGCGTTTGCTTTGACCTTTGAGGTCACCAGATCTCAACCCGAGTGAACACCTGTGAGATTTTTGACCAATGCATCTGCCAGTGCTACAAATGAGGGAATAGCTTTTGTTTGTCCCTCAAGTAGAGTTCCCTAGACTTTCAGAGTCAATGCCAAGGTGCGCTGAAACTGTACCGGCCCAACATCTTACACTTTATGATGGTTTTTCCCTTTAATTTGTCACCTGTCTGCATGTATGCACTCTATCAGATTGAAAGGAAATATCAAAAAGTGGATGTGAAAGACAGCAGGAAACATGCATTTTGCTTGTCTGACAAAGATTTATCTCAATCATGGTCAAGTTTTTACATTTTTATAGAACTTTCATTCACTTTTCCTCGTCTTCCTCAGCAGTTTTCCTAAAGACAGCGCAGGTGTCATCATGTGAAGAGTTTTTTTTTCTTTTCTCAAATGAATCAACATTGTTTCCCAGTATTTTGCTTTTTTTTTTTTTTTTTTAAAGAAAATTTGCACATGAACAAATCTTTTCAGCCTTTTGAGAAAAGCTGCTGCGTGCTCTGTTCAACCAGACCTTCGCCTT